GCGTTTTAAAACTTTGTACATTTCTTAGCCGTCCTTTGCAAAACAACAACGTGAAATCACCAAAATTTGCGTCGTCTGCGAAGCGAAACCGCGGCGGCAAATTATTTTAATTTACATTTGGAACTCAACGCTACTTTTATGCGTTATGTTGAGTTTGAGGTCTGGCGCCCTATGAGACGGTAAACACATGCAGCCATTTTCGAAATTCTAACTAAAAGTAGAAACTCGTTTTTTAATCGACGTCTTCCGTGGCGTTGCCGTCCTGACTGCTTAAAGTCCCTATTTTCTCTCTTTCCTTCCCCCATGGCACCAAGTCAGGTTCTCCTGATTTCGATCGTTCAAAAAATCTATCAAAACCACATGTCCATAAAAATCATTTCAATCTTAGTACCTTATTCTAGAAAAGTCTCCCATCCATTCTCTTATCTCGTCTGGTTGTGGACTGGGACGAACAAACCAGCAGCCGTGATTGCGCAACTGACTATTGGAAGATCCTAAAAAAAGGAATCTATCCCCGCCCGCGATCACTCCGATGTTCAAGATCCGCTTTAAACGTTCCAAAACGTTATCAATGGCTCCAGCTGCGGACGAGAGCCTCGAGAAGTCTTCATCACGAATGTTGACACATAAAAACTGGTCTGTGTTGTAATGCCGAAGGACACGATTTTTTGACATGATCTCTGGTGTGTAGTAAAGAAGCCTTGTGGGTGTGATCACCATACGTTTGATCATTGCGCACTGTTCGGGGATCAGTTGCTTTGGGAATCCCCCCGGATTAAAATTTGTTTCGTTGAGTAAGGCTTCGAGTTGGGCCTCTGGATCGCAGAATGAATCCCTGTGGAGCGCCGTGCCAAGTCTTTCCAAGGCATACAGTGCTATTTTTTCAGGTTTGCTTCCAAGTAGAGTGGTGAACTTGGTTGTGATTCTACCCCTGGCGAATGGAAAGGAACTCAGGACACATTGTGCGGCGTATTTGACGACAAAAGGCAACTCTATGGAAATGTTCACCTCTGGTAATCTTCTCAAAGATTTTCGCAAAGAAACATAGAACGACGTTTTGTCATATTTAGAGATGCTTTTAAGCACCTCTTTAACATCATTCCATTCACTCGCCTTAAAGGTAAAGTTGTAGGCAAAGCACAAACCAAAAGCTTCTCCGCTATCTCCGATTTCTGTAACACGCTCCCAATTCACCACGTCGTCAATACGTGCGAGATCCGAACTCGTCAAAAGGGCTTCGCTATCATCTTCGGATCCTACTTGAGAACTTTCGGCACTACTTCGGTTGACTCCGGAAGTCGTTTGATCATCTTCGGAATCGCTTGAATACTCCCCGAAGAAGCCACGATCTTCATCAAAATCAAAGTCGTATTCGTCTTCATTGAAGTACCAATCTTCAAAGCCGATTTCTTCGTCATCTTCCTCTTTTTTGATGAAATTCTTCGCTCTATACATGCGCGGAGGATGCCTCACTGAAATGATAACCTCTTGAGACGAAGATGAGCTCAGTTTGTCTACCAAAACGAATTCTCTCAGTTCGCTGTAACGTACTTGCAGCTTGTACAGATCAGCCTTCCACTTGCTGAACGGATTAGGAACTGTGAAACAGATCAACAATGTTCGAAGATCATGTTGAAAGGCAACGCGAATATTCTCCATTCGCTTGGTGGAGTCGAAAGGCCAGTGGGCACAGAAATGCGCTCGATTCCAAAAGTACCCCAGATTGATGGCTTCTGCTTTGATGACTAGCACCTGTTTGGAATACTTTTGGCTATGCGAGGGCTCATCTCGACTCAACCAGTGTTTGCTCGTTTCGGATCGGAACACATTGGGACGCGAACACCATGACTGGACAATATGAGTGAAGAATTTTTCTTTGCGGCGGAAGCTTTGGTCTTCGAGAGGCTCCAACTGCAGGCGAAGAACGACAGGGTGACTTTGGTCCGAAAAACTCCCCTCTTCTGGTGAATTTACAACACCTTTAACACCTTCAATGGTTTCTGTCGCCAAGGACTTCACATCAAAATATCTCTCAAAGTAGTCTGTCAGTTGGCTAACTTCCTTGTTGTCATTTCCATCCGTAACAACATTGAAAATAGCGATACGGACATTTGGGACACGCTTCTTTCTTCTCTTTCTGGGTCCCCCTGAGGCGAGACTTTCCCCTCGTTCATGGATGGTCATTGCTTCGACGCTGTATTCATTTTCAATGTCATCATCCTCTTCCTCAGCTTGTGGTTCCTCTTCTGCGAATGTCATGCTTAATGGTTCAACTGGATGTGATCGTTGGCTCAAGTCTGGTTTCTTCATCGCACAACCGAATGACTCAGCCTGTAATCGAGCTTTGGAATATTGCTGCAACCTCATAGCGTGCTCCATGTTCTTTTCCATTTTGATAGCATCAAACGCGTTCGTTTGCTCCTTTAAGTCCCTGCAGATGACGACAAACCGGCTGTCGGGCCTGCGCGATGCTCGCCCGCGACTCTGCACAATTCCACGTACAGTCAGTGCGCTGTCAAAGCGGATGACCAGGTTACATACAGGGACGTCTAGCCCCTCTTCTAAAACGCTTGTGCTAATGAGTAATTTAACTTCTCCAGATCTTAACTTCTTGAGGATTTCCTCCTGTTCTCCTCTCCAGTCCATTCCATCGCTTCCCTGCCCGTGACCGACAAGGAAGGCTGGGTTCAATTTTTCGCAAATTTCAGTTTCTTTCCGCAGCCGTTCACAGAGCTTGTGTGCAGTCTTCCTCATTTTGACAAAAATGATCCCTCTGGAAGTTTGGTCTATTTCAACTCGAAGAATAAATTTTCCAAGTTCCTTAGTAAGGTGTTGATACCTGTCGCTGGACGAGAAAAAGCTTGAAGCTCGTCTAAGGTCTTTGATTGACGATTCTAGTTCCTGTAGCGCATTCATAGAACCAATAAGCTTCTTTTTTAGCTGTTCCAAAGGGGATGTGGCCATTCGCAGCTGTCTGATGCACTCTTCAAGACTCTCCACAGCATACTCGTTCCCCAAGATGTTGTTCTCTTCAATCACACTGAGCATGTGCATGGCATGTTCCCCAAGTGCCAAGCCCTTTACCCGGCTCTTGTCACCACAGCAACGTTCAATCAACTTACGCAAAGCACCGCGGTAGTTGGGTTTTAGAACTTGCAACTTGTCAAGCGCTCGAGGGCAATTGGCTTCCCGTTCAATGAGCTCTTTCAAGGAGTTGAGGTACGACTCCACGATTGATTCAAGGACTGTTTGCTTGGTGTTAAGGGGAACTACCTGGTATTCTGTATCCGGTCGGTTCCAGTACTCCTCTAAGTCCGTCAACCGAGAAGGCATGCGCCCACATGCGAATAGATTCGACAGAAGTTCCTCCAGTTTTCTCGACGTTTCCTGGGGTGTGTCAGCGCCTGCTGGAGAGGCAGTCAGCGCCAGCACTAGAGGCTTTAACCTGTTATTTGTAACTCTGTAGAAATCTCTCATGACCTGTTTATAGCAATGATTTCCAAGGCAATGATGGGCTTCGTCGAAAACGAGAACAGAAATATCAGACATGCGTACCACCACAGGATCACTGGCCATGAGGTTTAACAAAATCTGGTGGGTCATAACCAGGAGATCGATTTTATTCTCTGCTAGCGCCTGGACGGTGGCTATCCAACGAGACTTATCGCCCGGAAAACGTCCAACATCTCCCGCTAAGATCTCCACTCTGAGATCTGGAACTTGGGACTTAATGTAGTCACTCTGTTGGTACACAAGTGGTATGCGGTCTACCAAGAACACCATCAATTTGTTTGGGTTTAGTCTTTTCATACAGCTTAGCACCATGGCTGCAATCAAAGTCTTTCCCGAGCCCGTAGGAAGGTAAACCAGCGTGTTTCCGCGCAAAGCTTTCAGAAACATCTCTCGTTGATAACCACGCGGAGTCTGCTTCGTGAAGGACAACACTTGCTCCATAGCAAGGCCGTTTCGCACATCGCAATAGATCAACGGTTCTGAAGGGGTCTCGTTCTGTTTAATAGATTCTGGAAGTTGTAGCTGAGAAATGTTGACAACCTCAAGGCCACACTGCAAAAGTTTTTCTTTTATTTGCTTCAATTTTTTCCCTCTGATTTCCTCATATCGCCTTTTGAAATAAACGTTTTCAATCTTGAAACAAATCAGGGTAGTTTCGTGTACAATGCTGACTGTACCCACGTAATCGTTGCACTGTTTGCAAAGAATTTTGTAAGGACAAAATGAGGCTCTCTTAGCGTCAGGGTTTGGAATCTTTCTGACTTTTTCATAAGCTTCTTCCTCCTTTTCTTTTCTAATGGCCACATGCGTCTGTGATGGAGGAACTGTAGCTAACATTAGGATATCCGTAGTGGCCAGCCCTGTGTTGCAGTGACTGCAGTACAGAGTAAGGCAGCTCCTGTAAGCCATTGAATCAGAGGTACACGACAAAGAAATTGCTTCAAAAGTTTAAACAAGTACAAATGAGTAGGACTTACCACAGCTTTAGAGACCAGTTATAATTCATCGTTCATCGCTAGAGGGGGGGGGGTCTGGAGCATTTTGGCTTTGTCATAACAACACTCATCCGAGCCCCCCCCCCACTCCAACCTCGTTCCCAGGGCCTTTTCCCTAAGGTAAAAGGCCCTGGGAACGAGGTTGCCCCCCACTCCCCATAAGATTCTGTCAAATGTTTTTGATCCTCCATCATTAGCATTTAATTAGCAGTCAATTTTTTTATAGTCCCCTCTTTACACTCTGTTGGCGACGACTAATCTCCCCTCCGTTCCCCCCGAAAACCATGTGTTCCCTTCTAAAATCTTCCAATCCCCCACCCCTTTCTAGGTGATAATAATGACTGATTCCTGAAAAAAAAAAAAAAAACACTGTTACCAATCCGGAAAGCGGAAAAGCGGCCAAACTCCCAATCAATTAGAAAGACTTCCCAGTAAATCCAAACCAAGGCGAAACTTAGTTCAATAGGGTCTAAAGCCCCCAGAAAGGGAGGTTTTACTCGGGGCAATTTTTTGTTTGTGGCCTCATAATTGTCAATCCAGTCGTGAAGATGCGACCCCATTTAGCGACAGATCCCATCAGCCTAACGGTAGGAAGTATCTCCCCCCCCCCCCGCCCCACACGCACACCATCTCCCGGCTGACGACAGGACAAGCGGTAACCGAAAAACCGACAACACACATTTATTTATATGCGGAACTTTCAAGAAAGCATAAGCGCTGAATATCGAAAAGAACATCAAAATCGAAGGCTTAAAGTACAAAGAGTTATCTCAAAATTACTAATACTGGAAAACGAGAAATTCCATGCCCCCTTCTTGAAGCAAATTCTAGGACAGCATTTAATTCAAAGATTGAAATTTTTCTGTAGGAATTTTTTAAAGTAGAGCTGTCCTTAAAAAGTTCATTATGAACAAATAAATTCTTAGGAAAGAGCAAACGAGTTGCTTACTAAGCTTATGAGAGGGCTTATATGGCTGGAGACAGGAATATTCCCCATTCGTAAGCGGAAGTCGTCACCTTGTTTCGAACTCGTAGCATATTCATAGCAGAGCAAATCCTACCTCAACTGCGGCATACTATATTCCCGTCTCCAAGCTTTACTTCAAAGCTACTAAGCTCTATAGAATCGCTTACCATTTCCTTATCGACAGACGTAAATTGGCTGGGCTCCTTCAATTCGTCAAATGTACTTAAAGTGCGTGTAGGAATGCCAATGTGAAAACCTAATGACCGGCAGCCGCACTCAAACATGTAACCAGTGTGACCAACTGCAGTTTCGTACTCTACAACCTATAAATATTTTTCAGGGGTCGCTTGACACTTCTTATTCGACCTTAGCTAGGTTATTTCGATTCGTCAAACTTAACTAAATATTGAATGGGACTGCCGGCCCACCTTGACCGACTGCCGGACTCTTGGCCTCGGCGTATTATGAAGTCTAATTCTTGCGAAGAGCAAAACAAGCCGGGTCATCCTCGGTGTAAAAACCTGACGAGGTTTTCTTTGTTTCATGAGGTATTGTTTTGCTGTACGCTATTGTTTATAAAGTTTTTTTGTCTTCGTTTTACGTCACTCGTGAGCTTCACAGGTTTTTACACCGAGGAAGGGCCAACAAGCCTTTGCTCTTATTATTCTGTCCTTTATTCCGATGTTTATTGTCTGAAACTCGACACTATCAAGGAGTTTTTCAAACACTGTGAGCAATACTCAGCTTTCAGCAACCGAATTTTTTAACTACTGAGTCTTGATAGAAATGAGTCCCTAAGATCTGTGCCTCGTCACGTTTTCGTTTATTGAAGTTATCGATGTGTCCGTGCAGGAAAGCGAGCTACCGAGCTCATGCGCTTAATTAGTAGAGCTCTAAATCTGCATACTTCAGTTGGTTACGGTTCTTGCAGTCTGGCAAAGTTTAAAAAATTTGTCCAAAAAGTTTCAAAATAATTATTTTTTACGATAATTCTCCATCCTCAGCCATCTTAATTCAATTTTGGTTTGTAGCGGTCTATTTTGTTGTTTTTGTGTCGAAGCAGACCATTCCTTTATCGATCGCTTCCCCCAAGGCAATAGACCTCTTGATCGCGTTAATATTCGTCGACTCCGACACATTTTCCATTGATTAAATCTACAGTATTATTTATATACTTCGCTCAGCTTCCACTTGCAGAACGAACGAGATTTTCAAAATTATTTTTGTTGCTAACAACAACTATTCCTCATTAGCTGCAGGCTTAATGATTTAAGAGCGCAGAGAAATATCGCGTATATTACAAAGAAGCATATGCAAATTCCTACCTTACATTCGTCATGTTTAAACACCACATCAATGTTTCACAGACATCTCAACAGTCCTACCTCGGTTCAACTTTCACATGGTGTCTTAGATCAAAGTCTGGAGAGAAATCGATGTTACAAATTTCGAAGGACTGATCGAATCAAATTCGTTTCAAAACTTTCCGAGAAAACGAAAATGCTCTTTCCGGGAAACATCGCATAAATTAGTATAAGGGACTTCCCGAAGATAACGGGAAGAATAGTGCTCTCTCTAGGCCGGGTCAGATTCATAATGCATATCTTAGACGTTGGAGAAAGAGTGCAGAAGAAAATAAAATTATCTTGACTACGCATTCAAACAGTGTATTAGTTCAAGCTTAATGTCACTAGAACGTAGTTATTGTAAACAAGTCGAGTATTTATCAAAAATACAATAAACACTTTTGGTTCTATTCCATCAAAAAGCAAGTTTCATGTTTTTGTTCCCTATTACTTCATCAACATTCAATTTTTTCTGGCAATTTTTTTTTAATTCTTATGAGTAATTTATTTTCAACAAACTTTCAAAGTCACCAACACAACCTGTCTGTGCAATTTTCAAAAGGTCCAATTTTTTAAAATACAATGCAATAAAAATTACCAGTCTCCTTGATCATGAAATAAATATTTCTGAGCGCCATAATGGCATTATGCCCAAAGTTAGGCTAAAAAAAAAAATTTGTCGCTACAATCAATCAGGAACCCATTAATGGGCTCCTGGCAGCCTGGCTCAATTTGATGGGACAATAAATAATGACAGGCCCCTTAATTTGATGAATCTATTTGAAAATTGTTGTGTGAATTTATTGATACAAGTGTCTTTTTAATTCAGAATTAGAGGACTGTTGTCGCCCGAAGAAGAGTTCCTTCTTTTGAAAAGATGAATTAGTAAATAATGATGACGACTCTAAGCTAATATTTCTTAACTACCTTCCCATGTTGTCATGATTGCCATAATGTGTCTGTTAGAAATCGCATTTTATTCTTAATAGAATAGGAGTAATTATGAACGCTGTGATGGAGAAAAGGACCGTCTTTTTTTTTGCAGGTCATTGTAAGCTGTACACAGTAAACTATGACGCACAATATGGCTATAATTATGCATCATAAACCGAAACATGGGAAATTCCCGTATAAATACTGAGTGATGTGAAAGTACTTCACCAAGAATAATAGTTGTACTGAAGAATATAGATGGTTGATTGACGGATAAGGTAAAATATATAGGAAACAATAGAGGGGCAGTTGTTTTTTTGGTCTTTCAAGGAAACGAATGCACGACCGTATACTTGATAATTTTTTCTTTGTCCTAAACTTGGTGATCCTGCTTTGGAGTAGAATTAGAAATATTTTGTTAATTCTATTGGATAGAATATTTCTGATTTGCTACTCATTTTCATTTCTTTTGTTTTTATGCCGTGTAAAACTGAAACAACACCGGTACCTGACGTGGATTTGTATGTCATGTCACGTAACCTTGTCACACGCGAAGGAAGATCGAATCAAAACTGCCCGGAACAGGAGCTCTTTCGACAAGTCTAAAGTGATATATTACTTTTTCGAAATATTGCCTCTCAGGATTAGGAGACGAGTAAAACTTCCTCATTTTTCAAATCACCTCATCCGTCATAGCCGCATGTTCTTTCCGGCTGAACTTCCTGCGTCTAGTTTCAAGCGGGCTTTCAAGTAACCTGGCCTTTGAACAACAAAAATGGCGGATTCTGCACCTCCAGCATACGACGATGTTGTTTCTTCCGAACAGCCTGGCTCGTTCAGTAGTTCTGTGCCAGCAACACAGGTGGAACTACATGTTTCTTGCAGGTAAAGCTTTACAGAGGCTCAGTAACTCAGACATTCAAACGACGTGATTTGCTCTGCTGCACGAGCATACGAAGTGAACCTTTTCCACAACAACGTTTGTACTTTACTTTTGAATTTGTTCGAGCTTTATGGTTTTCCTTTTGTTTTATTCAGGAATATTGCTGATATGGACGTCTTCTCAAAGTCAGACCCAAGTAAGTGCACCGTATTTGCGTGGAAATTGCTCGTGGGCGTGAAACTACAGAGTTTCACTTTCTGATGAATATCTTGCATGTGGTTCAATTTTATCCTTGGCTCAAATTTTATTTTCCTTTGATTCAAACTCATTATCATACATAAACATGACCGAGAACAAGGGAAAATAAAATTTGAACCAAGTATATAATTGAACTACAACATATACAACAATCTGTTCTGTTGTAATTTCAATGTTCCACAAAAATTGAAGGCATACGAAATTCCTCTCATATGTAGCTTAACAGAATTTCAGGTAAAAAATACGATTAAAACTGTACTAGTTTGGGTTAGATCTTCTTGTGTCCCAGGTGTGTAAAATCTGAATGTTTTGTGGCTAGTTGTAAGATTATCAGCTTACCATTAACTAACAACAAAAAAATTGAAATTAAGAGTGGTTTGATTTGAATCTATTCTCAATGAATCTCAAGGTTCCACAACAATTTAAGATTTATTAAATTCATCTCATATGTGCGAATTTCATATAAATTTTCTCCTAATTTGTAAAAGTTAGGAATGTAAACGTCATTTGATTTCGAGGTTAACTCTAACTTAAACAACTTTTATTGAAGTTGGACAGAATATCATGTCAAATTTAAGATTGGTTTGAATTACTTCTTCCTGTGCCCTACAACATGAAAAAAATTAAATTTAGAGTGGTTTTATTTATTTTGAAATGCAAACATCGCTGTACACACGATAAGGGCTGATTGAGGACCTATTAAATCTATTATGTCAATAATTGTACTGATTGACATGTGTCAGTAAGATCAACTTTCCAAAAAGACGATTTAGCAATGCCTTTGTTTTATAAGATTTTCCAGCAAATTTTCATAACTAGAAATTCAAATACCATGCAGATTAATCACATCAACAGTTATTTGCTCTTATTTTGAATTGCCGCTTAATTTTTGATAGCTAACTGAAGAAATGCAATTTTAAATCTCTGCCAGAACATGTGGTTAAACCACCAGCTTGTGGTTGGGATAAAATTTTAACAGTTAAATTTCTTCCTTAAATGGTTAAATTACATTTCAGATTCTTTTGGTCTCTGCAGGTTGGTCATAATTTTGATTAATCTATTGGGAATGACAAGAATGAAGTTTATATTTTGATAATATGATTGCAAAAAGGACTTTCAGGGCTATAAGCTCAAATTGTCTTTAGTTATTTTTCATATGTAGACCTAAGATCATAGCAAGGTCACTAGAATTAGATTTTAGTCACCTTCCCTGCCCCCCTCCTCCCCCCCCTCTTCCAAAAAAAAGGAAGAATAAAAACAAACAGGTAAATGATTGGAAAACAGAAAGAGTTTTCTTTGTGTTGTGAGAGTTGCGTGTCTTTACAGGCAATAGGCTTTGGAGGTCTGAGGGACACATTTCATGAGGTATAGCCTAGTGAGTCCACAACAAATTTTGACTGCTATGATGACCGATGTTGTCGTCACTAAGAATACAGACCATGCTTAACCACTGTTGATTAGTCAGTTATTTAGTATTATAACATAACCAAAGTAAAGCGCACGCTTTGATTGGTCAATTTAGCGTCTCCCATTTGCCCATGGGTGTACGCTGCTGACGTGAGCAAATGCAAAGACTATTTTTCCGTGTGCGCTTGTTTTTTTCTGGTCGCTTAAGATTTGTTAAATAAGAGGGAACTCTTTAGCTACATTGTATCAATGTTATGTTATAAAACAAATGGTAAACACCACAGCGTACACTATTGAGTTATGGATGCACTTGGGAGGTTTGCTAAGCACTCAAGAAACTAGAGTCGCTCTCGGCTATCGCCTCGAGCGACTCTTACGCTTCTTTCGTGCTTAGCAACCTCCCGCGTGCATCCATAACTCAATAGTGTACGCTGTGGTGTTTACCATTTGTTAA